TTCCATATAATTTTCTGTGCTGAGCACATTTTGTTTATGAATTGTGTTATCATTTCCTTTGTTGCTATTGTTTTAGTATTTGCTAAGTATTTGTGCTTGTCCTCTGTCTTATTTTGATGTGAAGGTTTATTATTTTTCTTTCAGATTATGCTGTGATTTAATCTTTCCCCCCCCAAGTTTAGACCAGTCTGTTCTATCTCACAATTGTTTTGCCTTCCTCACCATTTAAAAGTTCTATAACTACACTATATTTTCCCTCTTTTTGGTTTGTAGTTGTCCTCAATTACCAATTGATGTCTTTGATTCCCTGTTCACAGTCTTGTAAGCATATTTTACTTTGGATACTTCTATAACTGGGTTGGTTTCTGGATTGTCATCAGGTATATTAATCATCAGTCTGCTGTTTTTGGTTCTCTGTCTTAAGCTCCCTTTAGCATCTCTTCTAAGCTTTGTCTGGTTTTAACAAATTCCCTTAGCTTCTGCTTATCTGGAAATGTTCTAATTTCACCATCATATTTGAGGGACAATTTTGCTAGGACCCCTGGTGGTGTAGTGCCTAAGGCATTTGACTACTAACCAGAAGGCTGGCAGTTCAAACCCACCAGCCACTTCTCAGAAGGAAGATTGTGCAATCTACTTCCATAGTGACACTGCCTCGGAAACCCAAGGAGAGGTCACTATGAGTCAGATCAAACTTGACAGCAGTGAGTTTATGTAATTCTTGGTTGGAAATTTTTTTTCTTCCAGTTGTTGTTGTTGTTGTTGTTAAGTGCTGTCGAGTTGTTTCCGACTCATAGCAACCCCATGTACAGCAGAATGAAACACTGCCCGATCCTGCGCCAGCCCCACAATCCCTGCTATACTTGAGCCCATCATCGCAGCAATTTTTCTTCCAGAGTTTTATATAAATCATACCATTGCCTTTTCACCTTCATGGTTTCTGCCAAGAAATCAGGGTTTAGTCTTATTGGTTGTCCGTGGTAGGTAATTCTTCATTTTTCCTGTGCTGCTTCCAGGATTCTTTGTCTTTGGTTTTGGTGAGTTTGTTTATATGATATGTGTGGTGGTTAAGTTTCTGTGTCAACTTGGCTGGGGCTGGATGAGTGGCTGGGCAGCTGGTGGTAGTTATTCCCCATGATGAGACTGTCAGTCAGCTCCATGGTGGGATCTACCACAAGCAGCTGAGTAGCTGCTTTAGGGATGTGGTCTGCTTCCCATATGTAAGAAACAGCTTTGGGAATGGTCTCTAGTTTATGGCATGCTTGAACCCTGCATATAGCTGAGTCATTGTTCAGCAGCCTGCCATGCTCTGCCAATCTTGTGACTTTTAATAGACTTGAAATAATGGCTTTTGTGTGATTTGGTAATATCCGGACTATGGCTTATTACTTGTCAACCTTGGGCTTGTCAACCTCAGCAGCCAGCAGATGCCTGAGTGAAGAAAAGCCTCTAGCTTCAGTGGGCCAGGTGCAGGAGGCAGATCTGAAGCTCAAGGTTGAGGGGTTTTAACCTAGCCCCTAGAGCCTGGCACTTTGAACTCAGACTTAAAGCCTCCAAATTGTGAGAGAATAAACTCCTGTTTGTTAAAGCCATCATATTTGTGGTATATTCTTGTCAGAGCCACACTAGGTAACCAAAACAGTATGTCTCAGTGATTTTCTTTTGGGGTCCATCCTGTTTGGGGTTGTTGAACTTCTTGAATGGATATATCCTCATTTTCATCATATTAGGGAAATTCTTTTCCAGCAAATCTTGGACACATTTCTCTGTGGTTTTATCTCTTCCTGTACTGGAATTCTGATTACATGTAAGATGTTGTTGTTGTTGTTAAGTGCCGTCGAGTCGTTTCCGACTCATAGCGACCCCATGCACAGCAGAATGAAACACTGCCCGATCCCACGCCAGC